CTGTTAGTGATGTGCAATTGATTTACATTCAGGGTAATATTTCTCCCTGGTGGAATGATATTTGCTCCCCTTAATAGTTGTATTGCAATTCTGGTACTAGCTTTTCTGTTTTTCTATTTTTCCGGTGAAAGAATGTTAGCATTGACAAATATACAAAAGCCATGCAATAATGTAAGAATTTTGGGATAGAAAAAGTCTTTAAAAAGATGCAAAATATCTTTAAAAGTCTAAAAAAGATGAAAAAGTCAGGTCTATTAATTTACACAGATCTGTTCTCTTTTTCTTTTAGGGAAAAAAAAATCACTTTAGTCTTTGTGATTATAAAGCCCAAGACCTGACACTGTCTTTGGCCTATGTTAGCTGTTCTAGTGCACAGATTTAGTAACCCTTTTCATTTCACCATGAGCACTTACTAAGTCCCAGGTTTTTCAAGGTGGAAAAGCAAGCAAGCCAGATGGAGCCCTATATAACTTTCATATATCATGTAGTGATAATTAGCCAAACATTCCCATAATATACTTTTTGTGAGAGTGTTTTACTTTCTTTGCCTCGTATGACTTTTCTTGTTATTTATGGGAATTCCTGTAAATATGATGAGGAAGATGTTGATGATGATAATGGTGATGACAAAACAGCAGCTAAATCCAGAATTCATTTGCAGTTTCAAAAATACTTTAATAAAAAAGGTAAGTCAAGATTATATGCTATTGCCAAAGATTCCTGACTCAATGTTTAGGAAAAGGTAATTTATTTTTTGTAGCAAGTAACTTTTAGTGTGTTTATTTATTAATTTCTATCTAGGATTGCCTCCCCTCCTCATATTTTAACACTGAACAACAATCGCACTTGACAATTGCAACAATGTAGGACTGATAGCTAAGATAATAGTTTAAATTGGTCATATTTATTTGAAAAAATATGGTGGGTTTAATATAACCTTTTGCCTCACACATTTGTAGATCTGGTGTGTGTGTACGTGTGTGTGTTTAAAGCAAGTGATAAGTTTATTTCAGTGTAACGGTGAAATGTAAATTCTATAAATTCTTATAAAAATGAAACTGTGTTGGTAGGAATATCTTGCTGTTGTCAGCAGAATCAACACTACTTGTCCTTGCCAAAATGTTTTATCTTATGGGATATTTTCTTTTAAAAAGAAAGAAAGAAACATGAACAACCTTAACAGTGATGAAAGCTCCCTCCCCCTTTGGAAAGCACAGCAGAGGTGGCAGATCTGGCCATCAGAGAACAAAGGGCCAAACAGTGAACCTGAGATGGTGAAATAAAATGTAACATCAACAAAGAAAGGGCCATAGATAAATAGTAAAAGGACCAATTTGCCACAAAAAACCTATTGACATTTTCCCAGAGTCCAGGCGAAGCGCTGGTGACCGGTTAATGTTGGAATGTTTTCCTAGGGTTAAAAGGAGAACCGGCAGCAAGTCTGCTCAGAATTTACAAAGTGTTTGAATAACACGGACAGTGTTTTGATAACACGTTTTTAGTGGGGGTGAAAATAATAGTATTTATTGAGACATTTATATGGGCCCCCTTGGTTGTGGGGGGTTGGGGCAGGGAGAGAGGTAAACCATATATCATTGCACTCACCTATAACTCACTTCTGTAATTTATTCGTACATGTGTATATTATTTGATGTGTAATAGTCCTGTTACAACCAAATACTTCTCAGTTTTGCTTTTAAAAGATCAATGCATTGATAGTGGTTACCTTGAAGGGAGAGAAAAAGATAAAGAAGTCACTTGGTCAAGTTGGCAATAACTGCGTTATCAGACTAAGGCAGTGGCATAAAGTTGCATATTGTCCTCAGGACAACAGAGTGTGAGATCTTCAGTATGTTCACACACAGACTTGGCTTTGGTTTCCATGCAGTCTTCAAAAGTTCCTGCTTGCTCCATCTCAGGCTGAAAGGTGCAAGATTTGAGTTAATCCAGCCAGCATTTGGGTCTGGGGTTTCAAGGGGTCTCCACATTTCCTCCCAATGTTGATGTTTTTGTTCAATGTATTCCAATACACTGTCAGTCGAGCCACATAAAACCAGGCACCTTTCAATAAATGTCTCATTTGGATTTCATGAAGCTTGGGGTGTAATTGAAATCAAACAGCAAACAGGCTGTAAGGCTCTGTTATTTGCTCACTCAATCTAAGGAGAGTGCTGCCTGACATGTTCACAGAAGCCACTGCTTTAGCTTTCTTTTCTGTTCTTATTTCTGGAAAGGAGTGCTTGGATTTTAAAATTCGGTTGGGACATGTGAAAATACTTTTTATGTCTCTTTACCTGGTAATAAGTAATTTTTGCTCAGCAAAAGGAAGGCCCATTCCAAGTAGGAAATCACAGATTTGCCCATCTATAACTCTCCAACATTTTAGATTAGTACATTCCATATGTAATAATAATAATATAATTAACACAAAAGAACCATTAAATGAGATGTATTTATCTCTATGCAGCCAGAAAAAAATATCTGTAGTTGTAGCAGTGCTTTCCATTATTTTAATGATGAATTTTAATATATACTTATAAGTGTAATATAATATGTATATATTGTCCATGTTCCAAAAATCTTGGATCCCAAAGTAATTTTGTATAACCTGAATTTTGATTCTCTTTGAATTTGTCTTTGCTTCTCTATCTGCAAAATGTGTTGAAGTTTGGATAAAATAATCGATTTACTGGGGAGGTAGGGAGAAGTAAACCGAAATTCCCTGCCTGCCAAGAATCCATAAAATCCTAGTTATACATACTGCGTATATATGTATATTTAATAATTAGGTGGCACTCATCTTGAACTCACGCGCTTTCAAGAGCTTGCTCGAGGCTGGAATAAAATCAACCCTTTCTGATGTGGCGCGGGGGACAGCTGGCCCGCGTTATTTGCGCCAGAGTGGGTCGGAACGATGCCTGTTGCCTGCAATGGCACTTTGCCACGCGAAGCGTTTCCTTAACCGCTTCAAAAGCATTTTGAAGGGACACCGAGGCCCGCTTCTCGCTGTTAAAGTGCAAAATTGCCACGTACCCTCGGCTACCGTATCTCCAAGTAACGTGAGATTCAGTCTCATCTCTACTTTCTTCCCTTGAACATTCTGCAGCTTAGGTCAAGGCTAATGTAGAGGAGTCCACGAGTCGTAACCGGGACGCGCTAGCCCAGGGCTAGGTCGCTGAAGGCGCCCAAGTGCGCAGCCGCTTTCGTTCCAGGCGCACTCGTATCCCTCACGGAATCTCCACGTTGAAAATCACGAAGTCTTCAAAAGCGCTATACTATTTGAAAAATCAATCTCCAAGACTTCCCTAGGTCAAAATATAACTAAAGCAAAGAAGGTAGGAATGGACAGCGGAGTGATCTGAGCCGCGCCAAACCTGAACTTAACTGATGGGACGAAATGCAGGAAGCGCAGTGCTAAGCGCATTCTGTGCCGGCTTTCTGGGGATCTGCTCCCGACTGCTCTGGCCCAGGCCACTGCCCCGGCCCGCTCATCTTAACCTGCCCCCTCCTCTCTGGTTGTGCCTTGACCCTGAAAACCTTCGCGCCCTCCTGGTTTTCAGCACCACAAAAAAACTGTGATAAATGCCCTGGAGCGCCCGAGTGCATTAAGGACCGCCTGGCTCACTGAGACCCAGACACGCCGACGTTGGTGCTGCTGTGGTTTGAACCTGGGTTGGAAAGCTTCGCTCTGTTCTACGCTGGCGTGTGCGCGCTCAGCAAATCCTGCGGCCGCCTCATCTGTTGTGGGCGAAGAGTTTCCCGTGTGATCGCGTTGTTGGGGAAGCAGAGTCCCAACATCTCAGCCGGAAAACGCGCTCCCACAGCGATTACTAGCGGCATCAGTAATTGCTTATTAACAGCGAATATTCGGACTTTTCCTTATCCTCAACCAAACCTGCCCCCCCACCCGCTTCTGTAGTAATAAAACAATAAAATATGACGGTACCGGTCTTAACTCTATCTGCGGAAAACGCAGCGAAGAAACAGGCAGCTGGGGCAAAGTGACTTAATTCAATATCAAACTGATTATTTCACTAATTATTCTACCTTCTGTGTTGTGCCACAGAGTACAGGCTCGGGGAATCCTAGCCGCATGGCTGCTAGGGAACCTTTGTTTCTTGGTGTCAGGCCCAGCTGAAGATGGGGGTGGGGAAAACGGTGGGGAGGAAAATCTGGGATTCAGGAAAATTGAGCAGCGTGGATTTTAAACTGTAAGGAGTAAAAGTGATTGCCTCTCCGAAAGCAGGCATGTTGGCGTAGGGATGAGGATGTTAGCCTGGGTGGGATGGGGTACCGGTCCCCAGCACCCCACCCCACCCGGGCTTCTGATTGAGAAACTGAAAGCTTAGTTTCTCAAGGATGGCGTTGTACCTTGATGATCCCCGGAATCCCAAAAGCAGAGCATGAGGGTCCTCTCCACAAACTCTTCCCTCTGGGTAAAAGGATAGGACCAAATAAAAAATGGTTTCTCTGTGTTGAAGGCCAGGGAGTCCTTCTCTGCCAAGAGGAAGGTGTGTCTTGAAGTTACAGCTTATGATAAGGAAAGAGACTTCTCCTGGCGCCTGTCTCCAACTCGCCCCAGTTCCCCACCCTCAGGGACCCGCGCTTCCCTGCATGCAGTCAGCTTGAACAGTCTTTCTCCCTCCGGCCTCTAAAACCAGTTCCAGCCTCCTCATTGTCTGAGCAGAGAGCTAGGATGACTTATGTGCTAAAGGTGGACCCACTATGGAGACCCCAAATCCTGTTCCCCTAAACTCCAGAGAAATACAGACACCAGGACTGATTCTCACAACCGGACAGAGTCTCAAAAAAAAAAAAAAAAAAAAAAAAGAAAGAAAATCAGGCTAAAGGACAAGAAAGTCGTAACTGACTTGATCCAATTAGTAAATGCCTAATTGAATTAGTGTCACCTCCATCAGCCAATAGGAGGGTCCCCGGGCTGTGGGGCCGTGAAGCCCCTCCCTGCCCGCACGTATATAAAGCAGCCAGTGACAGCCCGCAAGTTTCCAAGTGGCCAACTTGACCAATGGTTTGGCAATCGAGAAGGGGAAGAAAGGTGCGGGCTAGTGGGTGGATGGGGACAAAGATCTAAGTCCCCTTCTTCCTGGGTGTAAGTGTAGGAGAAGGGTGGAGGTTCTGAGGAGCAAGAGGGACGGGGAAGGAAAAGGAGAGTGCTTCTCGGTCGGTTTTCACCTCCTGTCTTCAAACTCAGGGCGCTTTCCTTTCGGAAAGGATACTGGATTCAGGGCGCACAAGTGCGCGCTGTAGCCGCCCTCGAGTCGGCAGTTGGGTAGCCCCAGCGCGGAAGGAAGGGGAAGTTACCTTCCCCTCGGAAGAGGGCGCTGGCTCCCCCATCCTGCCTTTATAATAAGGCCACCGAAGGAGAGGAAGCAGCCAGCTGCCGTCTGCGCTTTGCAAAGCATGCAGTTAGGGGAGCAGCTCTTGGTGAGCTCAGTGAACCTGCCTGGCGCGCACTTCTATTCGCTGGAGAGTGCGCGAGGCGGCGGCGGCAGGAGCGCGGGCCACCTCCCTGGCGCGGCCCCCTCGCCTCAGAGACTGGACTTAGACAAAGCGTCCAAGAAGTTCTCGGGCAGTCTCTCGTGCGAGGCGGGAAGCCGGGAGCCAGCAGCAGCCAGCGCGGGGGCCCCCGCAGCCATGCTCAGTGACGCCGACGCCGGGGACGCCTTTGCCAGCGCTGCGGCAGTGGCCAAGCCTGGGCCCCCGGACGGCCGCAAGGGCTCCCCCTGCGGGGAGGAGGAGCTGCCCTCCGCCGCTGCCGCCGCCGCCGCCGCCGCCGCCGCTGCCGCCGCCACCGCACGCTACTCCATGGACAGCCTGGGCTCGGAGCGCTATTACCTCCAGTCCCCCGGGCCTCAAAGCTCTGAGCTGGCTGCGCCCTGCTCGCTCTTCCCGTACCAGGCGGCGGCTGGGGCGCCCCACGGATCTGTGTACCCGGCTCCCAACGGGACGCGCTACCCCTACGGCTCCATGCTGCCCCCCGGCGGCTTTCCCGCGGCTGTGTGCCCACCCGGGAGGGCGCAGTTCGGCCCGGGAGCCGGCGCGGGCAGTGGCGCTGGCGGCAGCAGCGGCGGGGGTGGCGGCCCCGGCACCTATCAGTACAGCCAGGGGGCTCCGCTCTACGGCCCGTACCCTGGAGCGGCAGCGGCGGGATCTTGCGGAGGATTAGGAGGCTTAGGGGTTCCAGGTTCTGGCTTCCGCGCCCACGTCTACCTGTGCAACCGGCCTCTGTGGCTCAAATTCCACCGCCACCAAACTGAGATGATCATTACGAAACAGGGCAGGTGAGCGCAGCGTGGAGGGGCCCCTGGGTGCGAGGGTAAAGGGTAAATCTGTGGTTCTGGGGAAGGCCGAGGTGAGGGAGCTGTACCCATTCGTTCCTCGCTCTGCTTGGAGTGTTTTTCCGTGCGCATTAAGTATCCGTAGACTTCGCATCTCCAATGCAGTGCCCCTCTCCTTTCGCGCACCAGCATGTTATGCAGGGTGCTAATGTTTCAGCTGCACTCTCCTCTCTCCTCCCATCTTCCTCACCTGAACAGACCAGGGGCGGGGGGCGGAAATGGAAATTCGGACATGTCCACTAGCTAGATTCTCTAGACTCCCGCTCAGCAGTATGCTGGTGCATGCCTGCATGCCGGCGAGGAGCCACGGGTGGAGGAAGGCGCGAGAGATGGCCACCTGAGCGCAGTAGATGGGCTCCCGCAGTTTAGGCGCCAGGGTCTCCATGGGAAGCCTCCGGGAGGTGGGCATGAGGACTAGAGCGCTGGTGTCGGAAGGTTGCTCGGAGTAGGTGGTTAGACCAACCCTGGAGCCAGACCAGGCTCGGGTTCGGTATGCGAGAAAGTTCAGATACACATCCAACTGCTAACAGTGGTTACTTCTGGGGAAAGCAAGGGGTGGGTGCTGGGAGAGAGGCACTCAAAGGGTGCTTTTAGCCTAAAGTTTATATATATACACACACATATATGTGCGTGTGTGTGCGTATATATATATTTTTAAACAAGCGCAACTTAATGTTCTCTGATACTTGGGCATTTAAAGATTAATAATTTTTAACTTACTGGGAGAAAATGAGCATCTGAGAGGATTGGGAGGGTTGAGTGGGGAGAGGGCTAAGAAGCACATGCATTTGGGAAATACGCTGGGGCAAATTATTTTGTAAAAAAGGTAGATGTTCCAAGAGTTGCCAACTCAAAATATTTTAAATAATTTTGAGCCACTTGATCTACTATTGTTCTGTTTATTGCAAACTTTTAAATGTCGTACTCCAACCCTATCCTAGGTATCAGGGGAACCTGCCCGTGTCTGGGCCCGTTCTCTCTGGCATCTGGATTTAAATCACTTTTTCTGGTTCTGTTCCCTTGCACAGGCGCATGTTTCCTTTCTTGAGCTTCAACATAAATGGACTCAATCCCACTGCCCACTACAATGTGTTCGTAGAGGTGGTGCTGGCGGACCCCAACCACTGGCGCTTCCAAGGGGGAAAGTGGGTGACCTGCGGCAAAGCCGACAATAACATGCAGGGTGAGGAAAGAGGAGGTCCAGGCTGGGAGGAGCCCGGCGGGGAAGAAACCCTTGACTCAGACAATTCACATTTAAATCTAGCACTTTTTTTTCCCCTAATCTGAGGCCTAGAGGTGTTAGTATGAGTTTCTTTGTGTTGACTGATGGAAAGCAGAATTGCTAAGTCAGAGTTCTTGCCTACCGATATACAGATATTTAAAGCCTTTAATTATGACAGTACTCTAGCCCTCAATCCCTATATTTGAGAAACTAATAGTCATAAGCTCTCTGGATGGGAATGGGCTCCTGGCATTCTAACATTTGTTTGAGAAAACCCTGGCCAAGGTTGGGTTCACCCATAAGTCCTACTACCTTCCATCAGGCGTTAACCTTCCAGCTTTAGAAGTCCCCAGATTGACCTTCAGGAGTCATCTCCTGTTAGCTCTGTTTTTAAATTTTGAGATACTATTAAGTGCCTTGTCCAAGGAAGGCTGGAAGTACAGGGGACCTAGGAGGGATATCAGTGAGGTCACACTTGTCTCCACTGGCCTCCTTAAGCAGCTTTTGGTGGGAGACTTGAGCTGTAAGTCTAGCTCTTGCATCTTGCCCATAGCTAACAGACATCCCTCCCCTTCCCCCTTTTGTAAACAGCCCTACATGCTTGGGTTTTGTGTTTTGTTTCATTTTCTCTTAGGCAACAAAATGTATGTTCACCCAGAGTCTCCTAATACTGGTTCCCACTGGATGAGACAGGAGATTTCCTTTGGGAAATTAAAACTCACCAATAACAAAGGCGCAAATAACAACAACACCCAGGTAGAGTGACAGAGGAGGAGGGGTTGTCTTCTGGCTCTGGCTGTAGATCTCTTTCCTAACAAGAGTCCACATTCTTTTCCACTGTATTTATAATATTTGCAGTTGTGCCCTGTTTGCTCACCTATTTCTAACTTTTTTTTTTTTCCTATTGACTTTTCTCATTTTCACTTTCTTATTGGATTTCAATAACAATGAGTTGACTATTAGGAACAGAAATACTGAAATCTTTGGGAATTTAAAAAACAAAGAGGAAAGCATGTTTATCAAATGCTCAAACCTGGCTATGTTTTAAATTTAAAAAGTGGCAATAAGAAGATCTTAAAAATGGCAATAAACAAAGAAACCTGTTGGTGGGGAACATTCAGGACTCCCATTCCAAAATAGATAATTTGTCAAAATTTGCTTTTGTTGAGCCCCTAAGAGACTTTTAGATTTTGCAACATTTTTTTCTGTACCCTTTCCAGATGATAGTCTTACAATCTTTACACAAATACCAACCACGACTGCACATCGTTGAAGTTACAGAGGATGGCGTGGAGGACTTGAATGAGCCCTCGAAGACCCAGACCTTTACCTTCTCAGAAACACAGTTCATTGCAGTGACTGCCTACCAAAACACTGATGTGAGTGTTCCAAACATCCCAAGAATCTGTAAAGCAAAGGTCCAGCGTGATAAAGCACTCAATGACTGTTTCTCTCCCCTCTCTAGATTACTCAACTAAAGATCGATCATAACCCCTTTGCAAAAGGCTTCAGGGACAACTATGATTCGTAAGTGCAGCTTTTATTCACACTTGCATGGTTATCTTTGAACAGGACATATATCAGATGCTTTGCTGAGAATATATTCTAGGAAGAACTTTCATGTTTGGGACTTTACCTGTTTATATTTTTGCATATTCTTTTGCCTTTACTAATCTTGCTTTAGAATTTTCACAAAGGAGTTTTGTTAATTTCTAAAGAAACGTTAAGGGCTTAAAAACGAGGAGATTCTTTTTTTAACATTTGAGTAGAGACTTGAAATTTTAAGAATCTGCATTTATATACCTTCCTCTCCATTTGATCCAACTTTTTTATTCTCTCAAGAGCAGATATTATTACTCCTCTCTCCTTTCTTTTTACATAAGAAAAACCTGAAACTAAGAGGATGTAATTTCACAACATGAAACAGCAAAGCCCTGCTGTTTTTAAAATCCGGGTTTTCTAACATCACAGCCAGTGTTCTTTCTATCACATTGACAAGGGAAGTTTGCGCTGAGTTTTTCATGTTGCAGGACTTGTAAAGGTGGATTTTCTGTAGTTTAAATACTTAATGCCTCGGAGAAAACTTTTTTTTGCATGGTGGGAAATTTTTCCTGATAAGCCAAGAGTCTAGCTAAAATGGGCCAGTTCCTCCAGCCCAACAGACCAGTGTTCTTGGTACAGATAACTGACACCACAGGCCTTTTTGATTTCTGGGAGGCGGTTTGTTTGGGGACAACATTAGGGTTTTTTTTTTTAAGTGTTTCTCTTTATATTGTAGCATGTACACCGCTTCAGAAAATGACAGGTTAACTCCATCTCCCACGGATTCTCCTAGATCCCATCAGATTGTCCCTGGAGGTCGGTACGGCGTTCAATCCTTCTTCCCGGAGCCCTTTGTCAACACTTTACCTCAAGCCCGATATTATAATGGCGAGAGAACCGTGCCACAGACCAACGGCCTCCTTTCACCCCAACAGAGCGAAGAGGTGACCAACCCTCCCCAGCGGTGGCTTGTCACGCCTGTCCAGCAGCCTGGGACCAACAAACTAGACATCGGTTCCTATGAATCTGAATATACTTCCAGCACCTTGCTCCCATATGGTATTAAATCCTTACCCCTCCAGACATCCCATGCCCTGGGGTATTACCCTGACCCAACCTTTCCTGCAATGGCAGGATGGGGAGGTCGAGGTTCTTATCAGAGAAAGATGGCAACTGGACTACCATGGACCTCCAGAACGAGCCCCCCTGTGTTCTCTGAAGATCAGCTCTCCAAGGAGAAAGTCAAAGAGGAAATTGGCTCTTCTTGGATAGAGACACCCCCTTCCATCAAGTCACTAGATTCCAATGATTCAGGGGTATACACCAGTGCTTGTAAGCGAAGGCGGCTGTCTCCCAGCACCTCCAGTAATGAGAATTCTCCCTCCATAAAGTGTGAGGACATGAATGCTGAAGAGTACAGTAAAGACACCTCAAAAGGCATGGGAGGGTATTATGCTTTTTATACAACTCCCTAAAGAGTATTTTAACCTCATAAAAATTAGCTAACTTTTTGCAGATGGACCTGGTGGTGTTTTTTGTTGTCTTCTTTGCCTAGGTTGCCAAAAAGATGTTTGCCTTCCACCTTGATGCATCCTGTTTTGTGCAATTCTCTTAAAGAAGGTGCCAAAGCTTTTTGATTGCTGCAGGTAACTGAAACAAACCTAGCATTTTTTTCCTTTTTAAATAAAATTAATGGAGGACTTTAAAGTGTTTTAAAATTTGAAGGTTATTCGAGGTTCTGGGATTATTTATTGGAAACACTAAACATTCAGAGAAATAGCCTGTAAACATTGAATACCCAGTGCTATCAAATGAGTTAAAACGTTTGATTCTCATTTCTAGTCATAAATCTTTAAGCAAATAGAAACTGAGTGTTAAGGTGCTTTTGCTTCTGGAAGAGAAGGGCTGGGCCTTAAGCTTCAGCAGGGGACTTTCTGCTGTTACATTCTGCCAGGGGCAAAAGATATTAGGCCTGGGAATCAAAAAAAAAAAAAAAAAATTCTGTGAAAGTGCTGGTTTTACCTGATTTTGATTCCTCACAGGCTTTGGAACAAGCCATGTTTGCCCGAGTCCAGGATTGCCTCACTTGAGACTTGCTAGGCCTCTGCTGTGTGTTGGGGTGGCAGTAGAACTCAGGAGAGAGCAAGGGAGGAAGTCGCCAAAAAAAAAAGAGAGAATTTAAAAGTGTACAGTTGTGTGTGTTTAGATACACTGTAGAATAATGTGGAATATATTGTACAAATAGTCTACATAAGTGTCTGAGATAATGTAAAATCGGTGCTTTGGCTTTGTAAAGAATTTGCAGATCACCTAACAACAGCTGCAGGGGCAAGGGGATAGTCTCATCATCCCCATGATGTTTGGGAATATTCTGTTTACTTCTTAGATAGTTAAGAATGTATTCAGCTACTCTGTACTAACTTGAACTATGTTTAAGGAAACCTCCTGTTCCATCCTACTCCTTTGCCATCCCCTCTCGCCAACTTGTTAATGTGAAGAAACTAAAACCTAATGCCACAGCTCCTATAGGCTTTTTAGAGATCTTGGATTTTTATGTACAGTCTTAGTCATTTTTAATAAATGTGGTTAATTAAGGGAATGAGCTTAGCTCTCTTCTGTACTGTGGGTTTTAATTTTTGTTTTAAAGATCTCATTTTGCTTCCTCTTCCATCCTTTTCAAGCTTGAACAGTGCCTCACTAATTACCACACCTCCTCCCCATAGAAGGCTCCAGAATCTCTAACTGGATACTGTAGTCAGGAGGGGGTGGCAGTGGGGATGCTTTTGTTTATCTTCTTTTTTCCTTGAAATGGAACAGGGCTATTTCCTCACCCCACCGGGAAGTCTAGACAATGGGGGGAGGGTCCGGGGAGACAGTGCTGCCGCTGAGATGCGAGATTGCCCAAGTCAGACTTAATCCAAGCCTCGAAAACCTCCGCTCCTGGTCCTTGGAGATCGGGCTCTGCCACGGCCCTTAGACACTTAGTTCTCTAGGTTTACCTCGGGCCACTCATCCTTGGGCCTACGCAGGTTCCCCGGGAACCCCCGCGGCCCTTTGAGCGCCCACGAGCTCCAGGTCCCTGAGGCGCCGCGGGGCGCGGGGGCTGCCCACAGCTCGGCTTCAGCTCCCACCTGCGGCTTTCCTCTGACCCGAGACACTGGTGCACGCGCCCGCCGCGGGCTGCGCGCCTCGGTAGCTGCTGGGCGGCATCCTTTGCCCGTAGCCAAACTTGGCCCCGGACGCTGGCGCTGCCGCGCGGGCTGGGGGCGGGCGTGGCAGGCACAAAGGAGGATTCCAGTAGTTCCGCGAACCGAGGCTCTGCAAACAGCGGCTGGGGAAGGGTTCACCTCGCGCATAGTTCCATTTATTTTGCTCATACTTCCTGGGAGGACGAAGGACATCCCATTCCCTGATAGAAGCCTAGGCTGGCTGAAGAGTTAAACCAACGAGTGGTGCGGAGGGCCCTTTGTCCCCCAACTCCACCCCGCCATGGCCCGCGAGGCTTATCAGCAGACGGCTTCAGGCCCAGCTTGCAAACCTTTCCAGCCCCCTCCTGACCCTCCCGGGGTAAAGGTCTGGCTGGGAGGGTCATTCTGCTAACTGCGTGGCGCGGAAATGCAGCTGCTAAGAGGATTAGCTGCTGGGAGGCGAGCAATCAGCCGGGACCTCCTCCCCTTCTGCGCCCAATTAAGGCCGCCGGGAGCTTGTACTTCGACTGTCGGGTCTCCCATCCCCTCCATCCTTCTGGGACGGAGTGCTTCCCGCGCCGCCCGTGACCTTGGGGGCTCCAGCTCCAGCTCCGCGTTTCTGATGGTGGCCGCTCAAAACGCTTTGGGAAAGCTCTCCAAATTTCACCGGGAAGCTGGGGGCGAAAGCTTTGAAGATTTGCTTTTTATTATTTACTGTGGATGACAGATTTAAACTGGGGAAGGGGGACTGATAGCCCGCCTATCTTGGTCGGCGCCTTCCCCTTACCCCCTTATGTCCGCATCCAACTGTCGCGTATTGGGAGATGAGATGGAATTTCAAAACGATGCTCTATTTCCGCCCTGTAGAAAGCCCGAAGATGCTAATCACCGCCGGGATAAAGCTGACTCTGGCCCTAGTCTATTTCGAGTCCTGTATATTTTTGCACCATACAGTAAAAAGAACCTGGTACTTGTGAAAAGTCCCTCACAGTGTTTAATAGAAACGTAAGTGGCTGAGTGGCCCCAATTAACACCTTGTGATAAGGCATTCCTAAGATGGAGTGTCAGACACCAAATTGTGAAGAGATGTATCTAATTAATCCTCCCAGGATGACACCGATAAACAACCCTCTATTTAAATAAAGATCAAGGGTTCGGCGCCCCGTTTGTTTACATTCTCCTCCCGGGCCCGCGTTTGCGCTGCCGCAGGCGGCGTTCCCCGCGCCGGGCGGAGACGCTGGCTTGAGTCTGCCGAATAGTCCTGGTTCGCTTCTCCTCCATTCTTGCCCCAGACAGAAAAAAAACATAGCAAAACAAACTGCAACGAAAGAGGAAAAAGCAGTGCAAAGAGGACCCGATTCGGAGTTGGAAATACTGTTATTTGCCATTTTCCACGCAAGCCCTTTACGTCGCCACTTTTTGGTGGTCCGGTGGGGGGTGGGGGGAGGAGCGAGGAAAAGAGGGAAAAAAGCAGCCCACTTGTAGCCCCTGGAATTCTTTCCTGCTTCGGGGAGAATTGGGAGCAGGACCTTCCTCCGACCCCCACCCCGCCCCGTCACGAGCTCGAGTTCGCTCCCCGTGGTTCCAAGATTCCAGGATTCCTGGCGCGGAAGCCGAGAATTGCTGAAAGGTAGGGTCGCTGTCCTGAGGGCGGGGTGAGAGCCGCCGGCGTCTGGAAGGAAAGCTGCGAAAGGCAGGGAGACTCGGGAGAGAACTTGGGGAAGTGGGGAAGGGGCAGACTAGCGCGCCATATTTTCAGCCTGTGTTGGAACCCGGATTTAAGCCTGTTTAACGTCTGCAGCAACGTGTCTCCCAATTCTGCAATGAAGTTTCGAGGCTCCAAACCTGCTTTGGGTCCCAGTTTCCCTCCTTCCAGCCCCCTTTAGTTAGCTTTAAACTGGGTAAAGGCAGACTCACGGTCTTGCCTGTCTTCTGCAGTCTCTTCCTTCTTTCTGAATCGAACATGGGGAGAGGGAGGAAGGCAAGTTTTAAAAATCTCTGCGGGTGTCATGGAAACGTTCTAGAATGGAAACGTTCCCGCATGCCCCTCGATTTTCATCGACATTTAGCCGCCGGTAGAGACAAACATTAAAATCATCCCTTTTCCACTCGCCTGGGCGCTGCGTCCCTCCCCTCACCTGCTCGCGCCGCGATGTCCCCCACCCTACTGTAAGCCCACTCCAAAGTTGAGCTTTCACCCCGAGGAGATTTCCAAATCACTGGGAGGCTCTTTTTAAAAGGAAATTTGGAAAAGTCTGTTGGTGAACCCGATCGAGCTCCCCTCAGTGAAAAATATCCATCACCACACCCCTCATACGTCAAGTGTAGGCTTTCGAGTATGTGAGCCCCGCCTGTCCAGCCCTGGAGGACTCCAGCCCGAGGAGCCCATCCGCCCGCGCCTATCCCTGTCCCGGGTCGGAGTCCCTCCTGCCGCTTGCAGAGGCCTAGCCCCAGCGCACACGCTTGGGGTTCGCAGGGTTTCCCGCGCACGCGAACCCAGCTCGGGCCGGCGACCTGAGCGGTCCGTGGGCAGCCTTAAGATACAGACATCTTTTTTTTTTTCTTTGTTTGCTTTTTTTTTTTTTTTTAAGACGATGGGACTCCGACCTTGGTGGCACCGAATTTCTCCCTATTACGACTAAAAGAAAACTTAACTTCTGGCGATACACACGTGCGCACGCGCACACACACACCCTCATTCGGCCCCAGGAGTCCTTCGCGCGTCCCCGAGGACGCGCATCGAGTTCGCCAAGGGAAGGACTTAGCTTCGTCAGACGCTGAACAGCAGGCGTTCGGCAGTGGTCCCCAAAGTGCCCCGCGTTTGATGACTCTCGACCGGGCAGAAGCGTGGGTCAATGCTTATTTCAGGCAGCACTCCCCACTTTAATTTTCCCCTTACTCCTTAAAAGCCCCAAACTTCCTCCGTAAACCCTTGTGGAGGCAACAGAGCCCGCAAGTCACTTTTATAACTTTATGCCAGACCCAGCTTTCCCCAGGAAAGGAACCGAGGAAGAGAACCTCACGCCTCGACCTTGGCCTCCAGGTCCCCGGCGGAGTTGCCTCGCAGGGCAGCAGCGCGGTTCTTCTCTGGGCTGCGGGCAGCCTTCGCCATCTGGTGGTCACCAGGAGTAAGGATCGCCCAGCTGAACAGGGCTTCTTCCTACTCGTCTTATCAGAAGTCTCTGCTTTTTGTCAGGTCCTGACCCATTCTGTAAAAAAGCCTTTTCTTCATCCCACTCCTATGTGTTTCTTTAAAAGCTTCATAAGGTGGGAAAGGAGCCTGGAATTTAGTGTTCTGAGACTTAACTTCTAGTCTTCGGCCGCTGCTTACTAGCTGCACTGTCCTCAGCTTGGCTGAGCTTCATTTCCTGATCTGGGAAGTGGGGATTTTTAAAAATTTATTTTATTTTATTATTTCAGAATATTACAGGGGTACAAACGTTTTGGTACATGAATTGCTTTTGTACAGTTTGAGTCAAAGTTATAAGTGTGTCCATCACCCATATAGTGTGCATTGTACCTGTTAGGTGTGAGTTTACCCATCACCTCCTCCCTCTCCCACCTGCGGAAGTGGGGATTCTAACATCACCTACCTGGGCAAGTAAAAATGAGATTATAAACTTAACTTCTTTGTTTTTTTTTTTTTGAGACAGAGTCCCACTGTGTTACCCGGGCTAGAGTGCCGTGGCATCACCCCAGCTCACAGCAACCTCAAACTCCTGGGCTCAAGCAATCCTTCTGCCTCAGCCTC